TACCAGGTTTCTGGCTTGTTCCCATTCCCCCCTCATCTCTTGTGCATGTAAAAGGTTTATAACTATACTGTAGAAAAACATCTGTACACACTTGCAGATCAATATGTTGATCTTTAAATTCCCCACCCAAACCATGCATATTGTAAAGTGAAACATGTGAAGTGTGTTTAGGGCCAGTCTGCTGTGCTATTAGCTGGCAAAACCAGGAAGCACAAATTTACACTTACAGACCATAAAAGCATACAAGGCCATGGAAACCACCCTTTGGTGTAGATATAAGTGGAAATTGGGATTCAGCTGACATATTTTTGCAATGTTTGCAGGATGGTGTTTGCCAATGTAAACCTGACTTGCAAAGATACAGTGTCTTTCACTGTGAATGTTTCATTTTTTGCTATAAATGGCCCCTTTATTGGAAATGGTCTCCCTTTACTTTTTCATCTTGGGCTGTTTGAACTACCCAACCAAATATTCCATTCTGTAACACATTACTGCAGATGAAGAAAATAAAAACAGGGAAATATTATTATTCCAGGAATTCTGGAATATTATTCCTCCTAACGAACTACTTCCTTTTATAGTGTGCAGGGAGATTTTCAGTATTGGTACACATAAGCTTGTGCTTTAAAGTTCGAATGCAGAAACTCTGTGTTTACACTTCTAAACCTGGAAAATAATCAAACTTATTTGAGAGTGTAATCTGGCAAGAAATAAAGATAGAAACAAGACCACGAGGGAGATATTTGGGCGTCAACCTCATAGTCAACACAGGAAGAAAAATAGAAAGCCCTTTTTGCTGGAAAAAATAGATGCTCCAGGTCCCTTCAGCTGCCTGCCTTGCTGTATGGACACTGCCTTTTCTTTCAGGACACCTTGGCAAGAATGGAGATCAGGCTTGCAGAAGCATAAATAGACATTAAATTACCCCAAATGGAATGCTCTAATATTCCATTAAACAATTCCCTCCTTATCAAAACATTAAATCCTGCATGCCCTCAACTACTCTATGTTGGCAGCAATGTAATAAAGAATAACGTGGATAATACAGTAAATGCGATCATCTCAGAGTCTGAATTTCTCATCCCATGCACCAAGGAAATAACTGTCAGTTCTGTGGCTGCAAAGGATCATGCAGGTAGGAATATATAGTCTAAAATAACTCATATGTAATTCTGCTTTTCTTTTTTCCTATAGATTTCTTAGTAACCTGTACAGCTCTCTGCACTGGACTCTCCCTTTTCAGAGTAGTGAAAGCAGTAAGTAAAGTTGTGGACATGTAACCTCTTAAAAAAATGTTGCAAGTCATTAATAAGAATTTTCACATACAAATTTTTCAGCATTTGGATGAAGAACATTGGTGCAGTTTTCCCAGTATATAATTTTTAAGGTGTCTGGGGAAGAGATATTATCTTCTGAGGAAAAAAAAAAAAGAATAATATAGAATAAAAAGTATATCTTGATATAGAAAATAGAATAAGAGTTGTTTGGGATCTCACCAAGATTAAGTACTATACTAACCGTGTTTCAAAATGCCATTTCTTGCTTGACAAAAAGAATGTCGGAGACTACACTCCTTCTGAACTACTGTTGTGTGAGTTCAAAGAGGAACTATTAAGCCCTGGATCTGTGCCTGAGCTTTTTATTCCTGGTACTATCAAAGGGTGTGATCATTAATCCCAGTTAAACAAGAAGTCAGCATGTTCCACAGAATCAAAGGGTGAAGAAGGATTCAGGAGACAGATGTCTTGCTCCTGCTTCTGTTGATGAGGTGCTATGTCACTTATGAAGGTCATGTTGGCTGAGCTGCTTTTTGCTCAACAATTTAATATTAGCTTGGGACCCATTACTATACCTATATATTGATTTTTCATTGTGTTGAGCCAATGTAGTAAACAAAATGGGCAATGCATTTTTAAAGAATAAAGTATCCATTTATATGTATTATAGTTATATATTTAACATCTTCTCATTGTAAATTCAACTACTGGGAGATTCTACACAAACCTAAACAATTTTATGTTTGCCTACATCATTAAAGGAGATCAAATCCCACTGATCTTGAAGAAATCTTAGATCATACTACTATCTTCATCTGATTGTCTCAGCCCTTTTACTTGAAGCTGGGTCTGTAAACAAATGAGTTGGTTTGTGCAGAGATTGGTAAGGTCAATATCCGCATTTATGATTGGAGTTTAATGTGAGGGATCAGTCCCATGCTTAATTTCTTTGTGGAGAAGCAAACTCCTTTGTTACTTACATACTTCACCATTAAAGAAGACCCAAGAATCTTCAGTGGAATCTAATCTGTTGATTAGATCATGCTATGCCTGACAGACACTAAGGAAGAAGCAGGATATTTGCACAAAAACTACTCAGCAGACATATGGGAATAAAGAAATGTCAATTATTCCAAAAAGATTTACCTGCTATGCTTAATTTTACAGAGGGATATGGAAAGAATTGAAAGGTTAAAAGGAAGGGCAACAAATAGATGGCAAAGCCATGAAAAGAATTTACTGCAAGACAGGAACTCACAGGTCTGATAAAGTTGCCTCTCATAAGCATGAAATTCTAGAACAGACATCCCACAGGAAAGTTGCTGCAGGAAAGGACTTAATAGAGGGCATGAATGAATGAAATACTGTATTTCAAGGACTAAGGGAATGAACCCAGCCCCCTAGGACTGTATGGTTCATTTCCAAAATATGACACTACTTTTGAAGAAGAAAATGAATTTCCAGTCAGATGGACCAGAACTGATGACAATTTAGGGTAATGTTTGTTTTTTCCCCATGCAGTTGAACAATGATTCAAAGGAATCTACATTGATAGAAGCAGCTGGTGTGTCTTTTTGAAGTGAGTTGATGATAAAACTTAACTTAATAAAGCCAGTTGGCTATGAGAGATAGGTATTGATACAGTCACATTGATACCTTATGTGACTAAAATGCATGTCAAAAATATCTGAGTTATCTGTTTGTACTGATGTCAGGTACTCAATATATGAAAAATGTCTGTTTGAGTTTTTTTCTCAATAAACTGCACCATGTTGTCATTTGTGTAGTATGATACTGCAGAAGGAAATCTGTGTTTCTTCTCTGCTCTTGAAAAAACCCAACCCAGTAAACTCTACTTCTTTTGCCCTATTTTGTTTTCACCTTGCATGCAGCTCGTGAACAAGTACTCTCTTTTTTCATTAATGAAGTTTCATCTCAGTCCTTTTTTCATCTCACACTCACACTGATGATAATTTTTGCTCCCCTGTCAGGGCTGCACAGGAATCACAGGTACGCTGCTGAGTTGGGGTTCATTGAAGCACAACGAGCTCCACACTGACATCAAACCTTGTGAATCAACAGCACAGGATCAAGATGTTATCATCTTGGGATACCAGAATTCAGGGGAGTCTGGTCACTGTCTTTAAGCAGACTAGGATGGTAAGCGAAGGGCACTTCTTACCATTATAGCAATGCAATTTGACTGCCTCGGTTACCTTTTCTGATTTCTGTCATGGATTGCAGACTGTCAGTACTACATTCCCATTTCCCTTCCTGTCACTGATGCAAGTTTTTGGGCCACTGCCTAGAAGAGATCTCTATAACAGAGGTCCCTTCTGTCCTTTTTTCCCCTGACAGAATGAATATTCTCTAGTTCCATACACATCTGTTTTCAAAGGAGAATGAAGAGTCTTTTCATAACCTTGAACTGAGGCATCTTCAACTTGGGGAGAGAATTTACTCAAACCCTCCATTTTTGTATTATTTCCAGTAGGAATTGATGCCACACTTCTTCCTTTAGGACAAAAAGGGCAGAAGTGGGCTCCCTTCCTTATTCAGTGCCTTCCTTATCCTCACAGAAGGGACACAGTGCTCAGTAGTGAGGAGTAAACACAGAGTCACAGAATGGTTGATATTGGAAGGAACTTCTGGACATCACCTAGTCCAAATCACCTGCTCAAGCAGGGCTGCCCACAGCAAGGATTGTCTTCAGATGAATACTTTCATGGATGGAAACTCTCCAACCTTCTGGGGCAACCTGTGATAGGGCTTAGTCATTCTCACACTAAAAATTGTTTCTTGGTGTTCAAAAAAACCTCTGCTGTATTTCAATTTGTGCCAAATCACCATTGGTCTTGTTATTGGGCCCCACCAAAAAGAGCCTGCCTCTACCCTCTTTGCATCTTCCCTTCGGCTATTTGTACAAATCTGTGAGATCCCATTGAGCCTGCTCTTCTCAAAGCTGAACAGTCCCAGCTCTCTCAGCCTTTCCTCATAGGAGAGATGGTCCAGCACCTTAACCATGGTCATGACCATTTGGTGGACTCTCTCCAGTATTTTCATGTCTGTCTGTACTGGAGCAGCACAGATCTGAACCCAGCACCCCAGGTGTGCCCTCACCAGGGCCGAGCAGAGGGACAGGATCACCTCCCTCGACTTGCTGGAATCGCTTTGTCTCATGCAGCTCAAGGTATTGTTCGCCTTCTTTGCGGCAAGGGCACACTGCTGGCTCATGTATGACCTGATGCCCACCAGGACCAGTCCACCCAATGCCAAAGTGCATTCCAGCCGGGTAGTCCCCCACCTGTCCCGGCGCCCGAATTGTTCCTCCCCCGTGGCCGAGTTTTGCCCTTCGCCTTGTTGAAGTTCTCTCCCTGGGTGTCCCCGGGTGCACAAAACTCCTGTGCCCAGCCGGAGGGGCAGCGGGAGCTGTGGAGATACCCACCCACCCGGGCTAGGGAAGCAGCCTGCGGAGGACGGCGAGGAAGGCGCAGGGAGGATTAGGGCAGCGGCGTCCCGCCGGGCACGCCCGCTGGCACCTCGCCTCTCGCCGCCGGGACCGCGACCGGCTCCCGGTGCTGCCCGGGGGCCACCCCCGGCCCTGCCCCTGCCCCGGCGCCCGCCGCCAGCCGCGGGCGGGGGCGGAGGGCGGGGGGAGGTCCGGGCGCGGAGCCGAGCGCCGCCAGCCCGCCTCGCCCCGCACACGCTCGCACTCCGCACACCCCGCCCGGCCGCTCCCGGGCCGCCCGCCCATGGCTGACAGGAGCCTGATCGAGGGCGCCGAGCCCCCGCCGCGCCGGGAGGAGGCTCCGGAGTGGGGCTACGAGGAAGGTGAGGAGCGGGCGGCGGGGAGAAACTTTGTCCGCGGCCGGGGGAGGAGGAGGCGGTGTGGGAATTTCAGTGGCCGGGTTCGCTCCGCTGCCGTCCCGAGGCGCCGGGAGCCGCGGGGGCTGCAGGTCCATCCCCGCCGGCGGGAGGGCAGCGCGGGGCGGCGGCCGCGGAGCCCCCGGGTCCAGCCGAGCAGCCCCTTCCCTGGCCGGGGGCAGCGTCTGTGTGTCGCGGGGTGCCGGGTGTCCCCGTAACCGCTTCTCCCTTGTGCCTCAGGAGTGGAGTGGGGGCTGATTTTCCCCGATGCTAACGGGGAGTACCAGTCGCCCATTAACTTGAACTCCAGAGAAGCTAAATATGACCCCTCGCTCCTGGAAGTGCGTTTGTCACCGAACTACGTGGTGTGTCGTGACTGTGAAGTGATCAACGACGGGCATTCGATTCAGATTGCCCTGAAGTCAAAATCAGGTATGCTGAAACGTGGCCTTGATTTTCCCGGGTAAAGCTTGTGTTGCTTGAAGGCTCCCTGTGCTTATGTCCCGGAGTGTAGGAAAAGCAGCCTGTCCCAGCAGCGAGCAGTTGTGCCCATTCTGCATGGACTATGCCCGGTGAGAGTGTTGCTGTTGATTTTGGTAGGAAGAGGAGCAAGTTTTGCAATGGGACTTGCAGATTTCGATGCCAGACTAGATGGTCAATGAGATTGCTTCAAAGTGCATCCAGAATTTCCTCTTGTGTGGTGGTATCCAGTTCATTTGCATTAACAGCTGCCCAGACTCAGAAGCAGTACAAGAGGTATTGCTAAGACAGTGTAGTGCCAAACTGTTCTGTACAGCTGGCAAGATTTGTTCATGGTTCAAAGACCATGTAAGTTAAAAGTGCTTTTTCCCATTAATTTGAGTGGGTTCTGAGTACTAAGTACAGAATTGGACAGCTTGATATAGATGCACCAGCTATACATGCTCACAGTATTGATGAGGACGAAGTAGAAGGCAGTCCTCATTCCTTAAAGGATGACATTTTTAGTATCACTCATCAAATATGTAGGAAATAATAAAATAAACAATTCCAGCTTAAGTGAAGTTGCAATATCTGATTCAGACCTTTCATCTGGGTAAACTATTCTGTATGAAGGAGGCAAGAAAGTAGGGAGGAAAAAAGTCCATTTTGCTTTCCAGCACTGCAGTAGTTCTTACCATGTGTTTGGAAGAGCCTCCATGTTATTCCAACCAGTCTTAGCTAGTAACAGCCCTTTGGGGGCATTTAAACAGCTGAACATTGTCAAATCATGAGACATTCCAACTTTTATTTCCTTCTGAGAACTCAGTAGTACTGAGAACTCAGTAGTACTGGGAATTACAGCTGTGCTAAGTGAGGGAGTCAGTTCAGATTTATACAGCTTTTTAAAAAGGGTTTATTATTTTAATAATGATGCTTTCCTTTATAACTTCCTTTCTATGATAATTTCCACGTATTTTTGCAACACAGAACATTTCTTTCCATGGAATTTTGCAGATTTGTAATAAAAGAGAAATGTTGTACTTCCAGTAAGTTTTACTGCCTTGATCAGAAGCAGAGTTCTTTTCCCAAGGGATAAGGTTCTCCCTGCAGGATCAGGAATTCTTAAAATCTCCTGTGGAGTAAGTGACAGTGACCACAAGTGACCTCATCATTTGCATGCCAAAATGCAGTTCCTTCCATCCTACCTGTCCCAAGGGCAGTTTGTAACATAGTAGTGATGGTTAGTAGGATGGGGCCAACACACCTAAATGCCTTTGCAAAACCATTAAGAGAATTAGAAAAAAGGAAGGACTTTTATACTTGAACGCAATGTGATGCCAGATGAGTCTTGAAACACATTAAAAGAAAATGTGAAAATAAAAATGTGAAGTAGAGAAGAAGTTTAGGACTGAAGTATGGAGTTATGATTTAGGAAATCTTGGTTTAGTTTCAACTTTTCCTTAGATTTAATATTATGTAATTTCCCATTTTCTATTTGTAAACTGGGAATAATTTGGGGGGGAGAAGACAACATTTATTAAACCTACCAAGAGGATAAAAGAGTTAATAAGCTGTGTTTGAACCTGGCCTAGTATTCTAGCCATTTTTCAGAGATTGCAGAAACTCCTGCAGTTTCTTTTCCTCACAGGAGATCTCTGATGACAAATCCGTTCAGCCAGATTATTTTGTTGGGAATTTTTGAGCACTGAATGCTTTTGAAACTGTGTCCAATTAATGTGCAAGAGATCCTCATCTACTGTAATGTTAACAGTCGAAGAAAAAGTTCTTTATGGAAAAAAGTAAACTGATTAAGATACATATTAAAAATAAATTTTTCATTACTGGTGAATGTTTTTATCCTTAAATTCAAGACACACAGTCCATATGGAATTCCCAAATCCTTCTCATTATTTAATTGCAAACATTTTCACAGCTGCTTTCATTTTGATGGTGGAATATATGTTGTGCATTAGGTGGAAGAACCATGACCAAGTATGAAATAGTTTTATCATGGGATCAGTGTCCTGAGGCCTTGAAAATAAACTCTGAAGCTCCTGGAGATCCAGAATTACATCATATAGAGAACATTTGTTCTTGTTACAGTTTTTCTCAGAGCAATGTTTTAAAACAGAGAAAATGCTCAGTTTTCCTAATTGAGATTATTATTATATTATTGCCCTAACTGAGCACTAATTGAGTATCATGATTCCTATTATTTGGCCAGATTTCTTAAATACTTCAATTGGTTGTTTCCCCAAGTGTTCACTAGATTTGTAGATTTTCCCTCTAGGGGATATAGGTATAGACAGAATACAGATAAAACAAGGTTAAGAAGCAAAACTGAATATATAACTACATTTAGGACATTTCATTTTAGAAACTCTAATGGCTGTTATATTAGTTGTGAAGAATTATTAAAGGAGGAGTGATTGGAATATTTGACTTTTTTTTCCCCCTCCAGTATAATTGCTTATGAAAACCATAATTGATCTGTTTTTTCTCAATTTATTTACAGTTCCATACCTTTGGTTTTGTGTTTGTACAGTTGTAATATGATTCAATTGCTAACTTATGTTTTAGTATTACACTACCTCTTGTGCTCCAAGCTCAGGTGGTATAGTTTGTGTGTCAAAATAGCTATATATTATGGAACTAATTCCCTAAGGCTATATTTCATGCAGTTAAATAATCCTTATCAATTATCAGAGATTGTAAACAATTAATTCCAAGTCTATGAAATGTAAACCAGAATTTAATGGATTCTGGGGAAGACTGTGAATGCCCTTAAATAAAACTCAGCCCTGCCTAGAAGCCAATATTCAATGATTTTAGTGGGAACTTACCTCCAGCTTGTGGTGTAATATTTGATCTAAAGCGGGTTCAGAAATCCCTGGGTGAAATGTTTGTGTTGATTAATTCCATAGCAGATTGGGCCTCACAGTTGCTTGCTTTTACTACTGGTGGAAGTCTCAGTGCAGAAGTACTGAGCAACTATACACGTTTTTTGTGTGTGTGTGTGTTGTGATTGTGGACAGATGCTTTTAAGAAGTTCCAGATGTTTAAAAAACTGAAGTAAGGAAAACCCATGTCTGCCTAGAAGCTGTTTTTAAGTAAATGAGGTATGCTGTTTTTGCTCCAGTGTGTGGGTTTGATTATATTTCAGTATGGAGGCGTTCAGTGTCTCAGAAGCCTGACAGGTGGTATATGACTGAACACCTTTACCTAGCAAAGTATTTGCAATCAAAAGTTTTCTATCTATTTCTGTGACCCACAGTAAATATAGGTGATGGAGATTAAACACTTGGACAACTTGGAGGTAACTTCCCAGTTTCATTCAGAACCCTTGCCATCTGTTTAGAGCACACAGTTAATGTCTTGATAAGACCAATAAACATGCCCTCTTCTGACTGGTAAAAGTACAATGCTTTTATTTGGTGTTCTGCATCATAAAGAGTTTAGTATGATAGCAGTTTTACTGTTTTTCATAACTGCCTCAATTCGTGTTCTGTACCTGAGAGATGCTTCAGAAGATAAGGTGACGAGTCTGTCAACTTAACTTTTCTCTCTCTGGTACCACTAATAACATAGAAAATTGCCACAAACTCCTTATTGTATTTGGAGAATATATTCAGCGCCTCGTCTGCTTTGAAAGGCAAGTTCTTTACCACTTATCTTCTTTTCCAGTGTTAATAGGGGGGCCATTACCTCGGGGACATGAGTTTGAACTACATGATGTTCGATTTCACTGGGGGAGAGAAAATCAGCGTGGTTCTGAGCACACGGTTAACTTTAAGGCCTTTCCCATGGAGGTAAGAGTGCACCACATTGTATAACACCCATGAAATGCAAAAGATCTTATTTCATAGCCTGAACTATTGGCAGCCCAAAAACTACTTCCTTTTACCTCTGCATGCTTTATATTTCAACCACAAAGCTATCTTCCTGAGGTGTGCTTTAGTGCAGGTAAATTAGGATGTGCATCTGGAATAGAATGCCTCCAGCACTCATCACACTATGATTAATTGGTCGTAAAGTTAGCTTGCAGAATTATTAACTTCTTTCTTATTAGTGTTCTAACAAGATCTGCCATTTCAACACTTCCTATGTCACCTTGACTAATAGCTATAGATGGGGAGAACTAGCCACTGGAAATATTTCCATGGTGAGTAATAACAGTTTAGGTCAATTTGGAGTAAGTGTAGAGCAATTTGTTCATGAAACAGCTTTACATACTTGAAAATTGAAGATTATGTGATAGTCCTCTGTATGTTCAGCAAGATCTGGAAGAAGTATACAATATCGAAATAAAAGCAAAGTGATAATGCAGTCTTAAAAAAATCAGCTCCTCCTAGGGTTCATGTCATAGGCAGCACAAAATGCCTTTTTCTCTGGCCCTCCAGCAGTGGTTTGTCATACTACTTCACTTCCCACTGTCCCATTGCTTACAGCTGTCAAGGAATGGCTTGGAGTATTCCTTAACCCCTGGGCAGCAAGACTACTTTTAACAGATACCAACCCTGATATTTGGTGACTTCAGCTTTGCATCTTTTATTTCATTTGTTGTGCACTATTTGTTTTAAAGAAACTCAAGATTTTTCAGAGTTCTTTAAGTCAGTTTTGCCTTTTTTATCTATCATAATCCCTCATGAGGCTGAAACTGTTTATTTTTTTCACTGTGCTCAGTGCTGGGAAATTTATTATTGTAGTGTTGTTGAGTGCCTGACTACTGGAAAAGAAGTGTCTTATGGAAAAGAGTATAAAGACATTGAAGAATATAAAGCAACTACTGCAGAAATAAGTGTAAAAATCTTGTGGACTTAGATCATCCATCTAATTCTTAGGGTTGTTCAAATACATTTTTTTAAGAGTTGTGGGTCAGATTTTGGTCTCTGCCGTTTGCTACTTTGCACTGGTCTATCACAATCTCTCACATATGAACTTACTCATATGGAGTTTTCAGGTTGAAAGGAGTAAGATCATAGAATAATTTAGGTTGGAGAGGACCTTTATGATCAACAAGTCCAATCATAAACCTAATACTGCCAAAGTCCTCCCCTGAACCATGTCCTTAAGTGCCACATCTATAGGTAGATCCCCTCTGCAGGCTGATTCCAGGTAGGTCTTGGAAATGCAGAATTAATTGAATGAATAAGTCTCATCAACCAAAGGGAAAACAAGGGAATGACTTCTGCATCCTGGTTGGCATAATATATACAATATGATTTATATGGGCAGTAAGACCTTCAGAATACTGCAATGCTCCCCTGAGGTAGGAAGTAGCGAATTCATTATAAAATACCTCTGCTTAGTGCTTTTCTTCAAGACTGATCCAGTATGCGGTGATGCAGAGAAATATTCACATGAACTATGCTGAGAACTGTACTTGGGAATCTATCTGGGTTTCCTGTCTCTTTGTTTATTAGAGATCACTTGCAAAAAGTCTTGGTGGTATGTGGGAACAGTCTATTGATAATCTGCCGATAATATAGAATTATCTACTTCAGATCGGCCCGGAATAAAATATGCTTGACCCAGAGATACAAAACAACAAACTCAGTAAGTCATGAAGGGATTTCATTCTTCACCTACCTTGAAAGCAGTACAGCAGCTGCACAAACAGGATTCTGGCACAGTTGAAAAACATCACCTGGAAGTGAGCAAGCCAGTGTTTTTCTGTTTCCTGCATCTAAGCAGCTTTCAACTAAACTCTAACTTCCGAGAAATAATTACGGGTGCAAAAATGCTCTAGCAGAAAAACCTGGCCCATAATACACTTTAAGTACAGTTTGAATGTTTCATTTTGTAAACAGATAAATTCATATGGCGGAAAATGGCCAGTTTGTCATCTTCTGCCTCAAGCTGTAAGAAAGTGCAGAGCAATTTTTTTGACAGATGAACTGCATTTCCTTCTGCTATATGCACAAAGAGCTGTTATATTAATTCCCTCTCAAATTGTCCAAATCAAATATTAGACTTGAGCAATAATAAAACAGGTGTTTGTGGCCACTGTAAATGTTTATGTAGCACACCTGAGACTCCAGAATGGAAGACTTGCTGTTTCCATTCAAGGCATAGCCTTATCTGTTTTATTATTATTATTATTTTTTAAACAATAGCTTTTATCAGTGGACCTGGAAATCTTATTTTCATAGCTTTTTACATTGGCATTGGTTTGTACAGTTGTTGGAAATCATCATATTCTGAATGTATATTTGCCTTGATTTCTATGGGGTTTCACAGATTGGCAGAATGTCCTAACTTGGGAGGGGCCCACATGGATCATCCAGCTCTTAAGTAAATGGCTCATATGGGGATTGGTTCCACAATCTTGGTGTTAAAAGTACCATGCTCTAATCATCTGAACTAAGTTTATTGGTTACTGAACACAAACAGCAATTGATGCCTATTTTGGCTACATGCAAGCAATCTGGTATAGTTTATGCTTTCATACAAAATAAGCTGGCATTTGTTTGTACATCAGTGCATGCCTAGAAATATGTTGAGCACCAAATGCGTAAGTTTGGGTCTTTATGAAGTGTAACAAATCTAGTAGGTCATCTTCCTAAGGAGCTAGAAATTATTTCCATGGCAAATGATAGGGATTCTCTTCTCTTTGTGAGAGGAGATAAGGAGTAATATGAAAATGGAAGTGCTTGGTTAAATGGGTACATTAACAACCCAACAGGTTGGCCTAGGTGACACACTCTGCTCATTTTAAAACCTGAGCAGTTCTACAAAAAACAGCTTTTAGTTTGATGCGATCTGAGATGACTATCTGAGACTAATTATTGACTGGAGCACCGGTCTGATTTTTTTAGGGCTGAAGACTATACAGCTTTATTTTATTACACTGGACAAAATAGTTGTGAAAGAGCTTCAGATTGTCGTGTAATGACCTTTGTAAAAGACTGAAAAAGAGTGTAATTTTTCAAAGTTTGTAAGAATAGTCTTCAGTTACTTCCTTAGTCTCTTCATCTTTGGTTCTATAATTTCTAGAAAAAAGTTAGGCAATATACTGTATTAGTTGAATAATATCCTACATTTCTTAGTGCAAAAATCCATTACTTCTTACTACACAGCCGGGGCCTTTGTGTGTGGTTAGAATATGTAGGTTCATGGTGAAGTTGGTTAGATTACAAAACTTGTGTAACCTCTGGAACAGCTTCTTGAGCTAATACATATTATCCGAAAATGTTGTTCACGTGGCTTGGAGGCTGAGTTCCTTGGTTTTTTATTCTTACATGAGGTCCAGCAAAGCTGTGTTTTCCACCTTCCTTGACTGAAGAAACCAGAATGTAGACAGTGGTATGCCAGTGTTTTCATTTTCACTGAAAAATCTGTGTTTGCAATAGGTCAGGAAAACAGGACAAAACAAAAATATTTGTCAATATTAAATACGGTAACACCTCTTCTTAAGCCATGGAAAGAGCAGAGGGATGTACCTACTAGTACTTCTCTCTTTTTTTTCATGAAAACAAGAGCATGAAGACCATTCTTGCCCTTTGGCCAGGAACTGGAAGGAAATTGTGCAACTTTCTCTAGAAATCCTTCTCACCGTCTACTTCTGCTGCATTCAAACGAGTGCTACTTTGTTTTTTGGCCAAAGATACGTTGGCCATGACATGTGCTAAATGTTTAGTAATGGTCTCAACATTGAGAGACTGTTTCTTGAGAGCAAATGGAACAGGGTACCAAATATCTGTGCCTTACAGTACAAATTTCCACAAAGCAGTGGAATCCACCTTTACACATGTGATTTACCTGAAGCTGATTTAGGAGTAGGAAAGAGAGGAATTATTTGACATCTTTATTCCTCCCCTTGATGCCAAGCATATGGGTTGGAGAAGGAGGGAAAACAAATGAAGAACTAATGAAACTGACTCTTTCCCATACCTCTGATGTATATAACAGGTAGATAGAAGAGGACAGGAATTGCAAATTGCTATTACTTATTTTTATTAAGAAAGTGAAATGGGAGCAGCTAAAAATGAATTCCCATTGTATCTGATCTCTGTATAAACATGGCATATTATAGTGCCAGGCTGAATGAACTTACAGTCAAAAAAGAAATGAAATCCAGCAGGAGAAAGTAAATCACATGATAATATCAGTACAGGTTTGTGGGGAGAAAAATAAATTTCTCTGCTTCTGAAATGAAGGGAAACGGAAAAATATAAGGCAGCCTTAAAGTTGTCTCTTCCTCTTAGTTAGTTTGACTTAGTCAAATAGTGGTGTGACCAAAGGCACAGACTGACTATAAAGGCACAGTTGTTTCTGGGCTACTGCTCTAAAATAAAACTGTATCAGGGAAAACAAAAATGTTCCTTTCACCACTTGCAACATATCTGGGAGGATAATTCTCTGTAATCCATCCTCTTTAAAATGTAGGATTACATTAGCTGAGAACCATGTGAAAGCTCTCAGTAGAAGGGGGTTGGCAGAAAATAATTTAAGAAATGTTTTCAAGATGTGCAGGAAGATTAAGAACTATTAGTGTCCGTCCTACTTTTTTTTTTTTTTTTTTTTTTTTTTTTGAGTAGAACAGAAGGAAATACAGTTGCTGGAAGGACCAAAATCAATTCTGGACAGGAATAAAAATTGTTCCTTTCTGCTGCATGACAAAGAGGAGACTAATTAATTCTGTAGACTTTCAGAGTAACAGAAATCCTGCTGCAATGAAGGTAACATAGTGCAAAACACATATCCTACCCTTGATTTGATTTAAACCATGACTTTTTCCTTTGTTAAGAAGAAATGGTGCCTAAAGTACTCACCTAACAGAGTTTTAGGGCTTCAGGTTAGGCTGTTA